AAAAATTGATTATTAAAAGAAGTAATAATTTATTTAAAAATATTATTTCAGGTCCATATTATGATAGGAACACACTCCTAGGTGCTTGGCTAAAAGAGAAGACACATGTTTATGCACTTGATAAATCACCATTCCAGCTTCTGGCATCAAGTCAATTCCTACCAATGGGGCCCCTGTACAAGGTTTCCAAGGATGCAAATCTTCATGGAAGCAGTTACCCCCAACTGCCTTGCACAGAGCAGCTTGTTTGGTTGGTTATCCAACTTTGTAGCGAGCACTCCTGAGCTTTCCTGGCAGCATCATGAGGGCTCCAGTCACAATCTAGAAGGTCTTCACTTTAAAAATGTGCATTTATTTTTATTTTCAGTTTGACTGAACACCTATGATCACCATAAGAGATATTGATAGAGGTTTACACCTTTCTTAGATAATATCTTGGATAGCAAGAATGAGAATCTGATTCTCAAATACCCTATCTGCCCTAGAAGACAGTTATTCCAAAATTGGCTTGGAACAGCTTTATAGACAGATATAAATTGGCTAAAATTGATGTCTTTGCATTAATGAAAGTTTACCAAATTTAGTAAGTAATGTTCAGTGAGTCTCTTATAGACATTCCAGAAGATAACATTTGGGAATTATCCAGTTGTCATAGTTTTCCTTCACTGGGTCTGAAGGAAGGGCAGCCATTACAAACGCTTGTATACTTTTCCAGGGGACTAGAAATAACCTGTGCTTTAAGGATCTCAAGTAACATATTCAGTCTTTATTATTTTCCACTGAATTAAACCGTTTTAATCTTTTTATTCATTCAATGACACTGAATAATTGCTTATTATTTGAAAAGTGCTATGCACTATTCCTACCCATTGTCACAGCACTCTGGTTGGGTAGGAGTGATCTTCATTATATAAATTAGACATCGGAAGCACAAAGAAGGTAAGTAACTTGTCCAAAGACACAACCAGTAAATGGTAGAGCTAAGATCCTAACTTGAGTTTTTCCGTCTCCAAAGTCTATATGCTTTTTTTTCTTTCATAAGCTACATACTAGAGCATATTTTATGTTCAGCCACTTTTAATCCCACCCAATGACAACACATATGCAAGATATTTCACTATGCATGCAGTAGATCATATGGCAAAGTTTGATGAATTCGAAAGAAGATGAAAACTTGAAAGTACAGTGATTTAACAGTAACTCTCACATGTGACTTATTTTGTAAGGAAATGTGAGTAAAATAAAACCATTCTGAACTTGAGTGTGAGATTTCAACTTCTGATAATTAATTACTGTATTTTTCATTACCCGATGCTGTTTCTGCATTTTAATAATCATCAGCTTTCAGTAACTAATACCAATGTGTAGCAGTAATAAGCTGTGCTTTATGAATGAATTAATGAAAATATCAGCTATCTTTCCCCCTAGGAGATGTTAATGACATTTTCTGAAACCCAATGAGGTTAGTGAATCTTCAAAATGTAAAATTTTAAATCTGTGATTTTAATCCGTTGTTTGTATGTTTTCTTTTATTCTAAGGGGGACCCTAATATTGCTTTATTGCTATTTTCTTAGTTGTTCTTTTGAATCCTAATATTCAAGTCATGCTTTTGAAAATATGAGAATCTAAATGCCACATTTACAATTGTTTTTGAAAAGGTCTTACCTTTATTAAAGTTACTGGGTAAATACAATTCAAAGGGATTTACTTCTCTTGTAAATTAAATGGTCTGTTTGTAGACTGAAAGGTCAATTTTTCAGCAGCGTCTGGTTTTCAGAAATGATGAGTTCTTTTTTCCACAATAACTCAAGAGACCTAATTTGTTTTACATAGATGATACATAAGCCATGATGCTTTTGATTGTGAAGCTCCATTTCTTGAGTCACATTGAGAGCACTTGGTATGATGAAGTGTAAATGTAGGCTTCTGAAGACAGATGTTCAGGACCTTTGGAAAGAAGTATTTGGCTACCTACACTCAAAAACCACCACTTGTCTATCTGCTTGTTTTGTTGTGGCAATTCGTGGGCTTCTGTGATGCTGGCAACTATACTTCTCAGTATAGGAAGAACTAGCAGGGTCACCCACGGTGCTCGCATTGGAGCTTCCAAACTAAGGCATACTTAGAAGAACGACATGGTGATCTCCTTCTTTAAAAAACAGGCCAATGAAACCTTTATATATAGCAGAACATTGTCTAACATAGAATAAGTCACTCAGATTGAAAGACACTCAAGATATAATCGGGAGAAAGCTGTCTCCTCAAAGTAGAATCAAGCTTCATAACTTGGATGAAGAAAAGGCTTCTGGCTTTTCGTTGACCGATTTGGCACAACTCAAAATGAGAAGAAATACCTACAAACATATGTTAATAATTGGAAGATGAATTGCACAATATTTTAATCCATGAACATCAGGAGTAATAAAAAACGAAATGGAACACACAAAGATCGATATTGCAGGCATTAGATATCTGAAATGGACTGGTATTGGCATTTTGATTGGACAATCATATGGTCTATCATACTGAGAATGACTATCCTAGCATATATGCCTAAAAGGAAGACCAGTTAACATGAACACCCTTCAAATTTACACACCAAACACTAATGCCATAGATGAAGAGTTTGAAGATTATTACCAACTTCTGAAGTGTGAAATTAATCAAACATTCCATCAAAATGCACTAATTGCTGGTCATGGCAATGTGTAAGTTGGAAACAAAGAATAATCAATAGTTGGTAAATATGACATTGGTGACAGAAAAAACACCAGAGATTGCGTGAAAGAAATTTACAAAGCCAGTGACCTATTCAGGGCAAATACCTTTTTCGACAGTATAAACAACTATACCTGTGGATCTTGCTAGATGGAATCCACTGGAATCAAATTGCCTACATATGTGGAAAGGAATGATGGAGAAGCTCCATCGGTCAAAATAAGGTCAAGAGCTGACTGCAGAAAAGACCATCAATTGCTCATGTACAAGTTCATGTTGAAGCTGAAGAAAATTAAAATAAGTTCACAAGAGCCAAAGAACAATCTTTTGTATATCCAACCTGAATTTATAGACCATTTCAAGAATAGATTGGATGCCTAATGCTAATGACTTGAAGACCAAGTGAATCATAGTGTGGCATCAAAGACATCATATATGAAGAAAGGATGTCATTAAAAATACATGAGAGGGTGACCTCCCGAGTCATTGGCTGCGGGTCCTCCATCCAGCGGAGCCGTTTGTCCTGTGCCATGATGCTCCAAAGCCTGATCAAGAATGTGTGGACCCCCATGAAGCCCTACTACACACAAGTTTACCAGGCGATCTGGGTGGGGATGGGCCTGATGGGCTTCATCATATACAAGATCAGGAGCGCCGATAAAAGAAGTAAAGCTCTGAAAGCTTCTGGTGGGGCACCTGCCCATGGCCACCACTGAGCAGCTGCCTGAGATCCTGTCGGATGAAGTGTCCAGTTGGCTGGGAATGTCAGAGCACAGTGTTGGAGACATGGCTTTCGCTCCTGCCTGTGCTGCGTGGCATGAATAAACGTGTGTGAGAGAGAAAAAAATACATGAGAGAAAGAAGAGACCAACATGGACATTAGAAGAGACCTGAAACTTGTTCTGGAATGTAGAGTAGCTGAAGTGCATGGAGGAAAGAATGAAGAAAAAGAGATGAATAGAATATTTCAAAAGGTGGTTTGAGCAGACAAAGTAAAGTATTATAAAGAAACGTTCAAAGACCTGGAGTCATAATATTGAAAGGAAAGAAAATATTTGGAAGTTCTTAAACTGTAGAAAAAAGTGTAAGCCTAAAGTTGCAATATTGAAGAGTTCTATATATGAATCAGAATAGACTTGATGGGAGTGCTCCGGGTAAACGATTGAACCATTAAAAGAAGATAGAAGGAATACAGAGTCACTACAACAAAAGAAGTGGGCTATGTTCAGTCCTTTCAAGAGGGAGCAGAAGATCAAGAACTGATGGATATTAAAGAAGAAAGGATGCTACTTAAGTTATTGGCTAAAACAACAACAACAGCAATAAAAACCTAGGCTTTAGGAAATGACAGAATACCAGTTGTTATGTTTCAACAAACAGATGCAATGCCTTAAGTGCTTACTTGTGTGTATCAAGAAATTTGGAAGACAGCTACTTGGAAGAGAGCCATATATGAGCCCATTCAAAAGAGAAATGATCTCCAACAGAACAAGTAAGTTATTAAACAATATCATTAATAGCACATGCAAGGAAGATTTTGCTGGAGATAATTTTAAAAGAGTTACAGCAGTACATCAATAGAGACCTGCAAGAAATTTGAGTTGATTGACAACAAATGATGGAAGCAGGGGAAAACACTGGGGGTGGGGAGTACAAGAGTTAAAGCCAACAGAGATAAATACTGTTATTCACACAATCCTGCAATAATGGTGGTCTATGAATAGACAATATGTATTAAATATTTGTGCATAGGTATTTACCTTTGCTTCAGCTATATCCATGAATGTGGAGGAGCATATGGCGGCGGGGGGGGGTTAAGACATAACTAAACAACCTAAGGAAATGAATCACTAGGCTTGGGGGCTCAGGGGACACCACGCTTAATTGCCATAACATAGTCCATAAGGATGATGTTCTACATCCTACTTTGGTGAGTAGTGAATGGGGTCTTAAAAAAGCTCTTGATTGACTACCTAAGGTGCAACTGGCATTCTTTTTCTGTCTGGAGGAAAGAACAGTGATGAAAATCAAGGACACATTGAAACAATTAGCCCGATGCCCTAATGGACCACGTGAACATCCATCTCCACAACTCTGAGAAGATGGTTCCTGGCTTCCATTACCAACTGCTCTGAAAAGGATCATATTTTAGGGTCCAAGATTGAGTGGAAGAAAATTTTGGAACAAAACTCAAAATCATAAAAGATACCAGATTTTCTAGTTGAATAGAAATTGATGGAACCTACAAGAATATGGCCCTTGAATATCCTTTGTGCTTGAAACAGAACTCACCATTGTGGCTCAATTTTCAGCCAAACAATAGGTAGGTGTACAAGGGGAACAATATCACTATTGAGGTGTGCATATCTTAGACATATACCCAAAGGTAGGGTTCAGAAGGGAAAATGGAAGCAGAAAACACAGGGAAGAAGTGGGATGGGTGATCTCAGTGAGAGGATTGTAATGAATGGGCTGAAGTAGAATGTGTATGCATCAAATGTAAAAGTGATGATCTGCTCTGTAATCCTTTGCCCAATTCACAAAAAAGTAAAAATCAAACAGTAAACAAGGAACAAATACTCATTGCAATTGCAATGTTCTTTTCTGGGGGAAAAAGAAGAGAACATAACATGAGGAATATCACTGCTGATGTCAGCTGGATATTGGCTGAAAGCCGAGAATAGCAGAAGATATTTTCCTGTATTTTATGGATTAGTCAAAGGCATTCAAATTAATTAATAATAAAAATTTCGGATAACATTGTGACATATAGGAATCCAGAATATTTTATTGTGCTTATAATACATCTATGTGTATAGACCAAGAGGCAGTCATTTCAATAGAACGAGGTCATATTGTGTTGTTTAAATCAGGAGGGTGTGCATCAAGCTTGTATCCTTTGACTACACTCGTTCAACCTATTACTTAAAAATTAATTCAAGATGATAAATTACATGAAGAATAGGGCATCCAAATGTGCGGAAGACCCTTTAACAACTGAGATATGCAAATGACACACTTTCTTGCTTTTGTGTGTGTGAAGAACACTTGAAGTTCTGACTGATGAAGATCAAAGACTACAGTCTTCAGTAAGGATTACACATCAACTTAAAGAAAACAAAAAAAAATCATCACAACTAGAGCAATAGACAATATCTTATAAATAGAGATAATATTGAAATTTCCAGAATTTCATTTACTGGAACCTACAGTCAACACCCATGGATGCAGCAGTTAAGAAATCAAAGGGTGTATTGCATTAGGAAAATCTGCTACAAAAGACTTCTGTAAAGTGTTAAAAAGCAAAAAATGCCCATTTAAAGACAAGGGTGCTGTGCTAGGTAGGTTTATTGTGCCAACCTGGTCAACGAACATGTGGGATTAATTAAAGGGCAGAGAGATAAATGGCTCGGCGAGTCTTGCCTTTCTGGTCTCTTGCTCTTTGATGAACGAACCAGTGTGCAGCTGCCTTAGCAGTGGGACACCCAACCCATGTACTGTATGGCTGTAGCTTGAGGTTCCTTTAAGACCTGCTTCTCCACGCTACTGGAGTATACATCGCTTGAGCTGGGGACTGTTGGACCCTGTCACCTGACTGACTGTTGGTGATCTGCCTTGTTGTTTTCTGCCTGTGGCCACATTGCCTGAATTGCCATACAGCGGACTCAGCTGTCTGCTTCCTTGAAGTGCACCTGGTGGCCCTAAAGAATTGAAGGACTTCCAGTGTATTAGCTGTCAGGGAAATAAGTTGCACTGAGCCATTTGTACTGCTCTATAGACTAATTAGCTGTTTATTTCTTATGTTGTATATAGCCATATAAATATATATACAATCATAAGTGTCCTGGTTTTGTTTCTCTAGAGAACTCTGTCTAACACAATTGACACCAGGAGTGGTTCTAGAGAAACAAGATCATAAACATGGGCTTCTTAAATTGGCTCTCCAGACTGAGTAGGCTTAACAGCACTTATAATGCTATCTCTACCTCCAAAGGCATGGATAAGTCTGCCACTCTTACTAATCCATGGTGTAAAGTAGTAAAGCTAATATCCACAGTATCACTACCAATAGATGAAGTTCTGGTGAGAGGAGAGGCTCTGGGTGATCATGTGTTTGATATTTTCCAGCAATTTTTTCAGGATGACAAGTATAGGGAAGCTGGTTGGCTGGTCCTCCTTACAATGTGAAAGTGTCATTAAGCAGAGGGATGGTCTCAAAATCTCAGAAGCACGTCTCAAGTGCCGAATAACAGACCTAAAGCTTCTGCATGTACTATAAAGGAGAGCCTTCTCTCCTCTAGTAATAGAGCTGATATTGGTGAGAACCAGGTCCAGAGTCTCATCATGCTAGTGGCTGAATTACAACATCAGCTGAATTGCAGATCTAGAGTAAGGGCATTGATAGGAAAAAGTTGTGACCCTGAAACATGGGGTGGGAACCTATGGTCTGATGATCCAGAAGAGGAGGATATTAAGCCCCTAGAGATTGCAGGCCAGCACCACCACCCCCCAGTCAATAGATCCACATGAGGGAATTTATTATCAGTAAAACAACTCACACCTGAGCAGATTAACCAAACTGTTCAAGCTGAAATGCCAGGTGGGGCTGCATCTGGAGCATTGTCTGGGGAAGATGCCTTACAAGATATTGCTGAGAGCCCCCAGGAAATCCCCTTGCCACCCATTATTTCCTCTAGACCTGTAACCAAAATTAAGGCTCAGAAAGCTCCTAAAGGTGAGTTTGAGATGATTGCTCATGAAGAAGTGTGCTATGCTCACAAAGATCTGCTTGAGGTTTCTAATACGTACAAGCAGAAGCCTGGTGAATAGCCCTGGGAATGGTTAACTAAGGGTGTGGGATACTGGTGCAAGGAGTGTAACATTGGCCCAGTCTGAGTTTCTGGACATGGGACCCCTAAGCACAGATTCTTTTTTCAATGTCTCAAAGAGAGACATTGAAAATAATTTCTTATTTAGTTGGTTAACTGGCGCATGGGCTGCCAGATGGTCTAGATTAGACCAACTTGAGGTACCCAATTTATACTGTTCTATAGACTAATTGGCTGTTTACTTCTTATGTTGCATATCTATCTCTCTTTATAAATATATATAAAATCACAAGTGTTCTGGTTTTGTTTCTCTACAGAACCCTATCTAACATAGCTGCATCTACTTCAAGCTATGTGCGGTAGTTAGGTTTGGGGCCCACTTGGCTGCGCTGGAATTTGCAGTCTGGCAGTTGGAGTGATGTGATCTAACACACTATGTGAATAAGTTTCTTTATCTAAAATCCTCTATCTATCCATTTCTCTTTCTATAGCTTACTGGTTTGTTTCTCTAGAGAACCAAGACTAACACACTACAATACTTTCAAATACGGCACAAGCATGTGAAAACTGGCCAATGAATAAGGAAAATCAAAGAAGAATTTATGCATTTGAATTATGTTTTTGGTGACTAATATTGAACGTATCATAAACTGCTACCCTGTTTCCCCTAAAATAAGACAGTGTCTTCTATTAATTTTTGCTCCCAAAGAAGCGCTAGGTCTTATTTTCAGGGGATGTCTTATTTTTCCATGAAGAAGAATACGGTACACATTTATTGTTTTATCATTTTATTAAAAGAGACCCCGCACTTCCTGCCTGCTCTGGCTGCGCTGTGGTCAACAGTGAGCTGTGTAGCGGTGCCTGCTGCTAAGGTCCAGAGTCCAGAGTTACGGTTGCTTTGGGGGGGGGCTTATTT